AACGAGAGTCGCGGAACGAATTAAGTTCATGAACCGAGGTACCACTGTATATTGTTTCTTTTCTTGCAGATTTTATTTCAAATGTGATGACATTCGTCTTGTTGGAGGGCAGCATGTCAGGATCTACGCAAGCAACTATCAGAAGGCTATTAAAATGTTATTAGAAAATTTATAATGTTAACAGGCATGTGCTAATTAGCTAGTAAGTACAAATGTTGTTTTAGGAAGGAATCATAACTTGGGTAGATGCTTGCTTGTTCCTGCCATAAAAGGGAAGAGGGGAAATGGAGAACAAACAACAAAGGCCAGGTGTGGTGTTATCTAGCCCCGAGGTGCCGGCAAGGCTGAGCAAGGTGAGACCAAAGAAGAGGTACAAAGGAATCAAGCGGGAAAATAGAGTAGAGGGGGGTTAAAAGGAGAGCCCTGGCTGGGGAGGGTTAGTCTCAGCAATCTATGGAATGCTGTATACTGCTACTCAATAAAGAAATCTTTACTGGAAACAAACCGGCTCCAGATTTACTGGAATTGGGAACTGAGTGTGCAGACTCTGACACCACCCTAAACACTGTCTTTGTGGGGAAAACTGGAGAAGGCAGTGCTACGTATGCCACCCTGAGCTCCTGGACTTCTTTTTGATAAAGTGATTTTTGAAAGAGCCATTAGCCAAAATTTGCCAAAATTAAAGTAACATCAAAATAAAACTTCCTTTGATCAACTGGCTGCATTGAGACTACTAAAATATGAAATGCTTCTAACCCAGACTCACCATCCTCAATGGCGTTTTTGACAGCACGCAGTCCATCTCTTACAGCATCTTTGATCTGGGTCAGTGTGTGCTTATTCGGTCCCTTGATCAACAGAGTCACAGAACGAGGGTTATCACACTTCTCAATGAAAGTGTACTTCTCTTCACCCTGTGCAAAGAGAACAATCCAGACATTATTTAAGGAACATAAATGCTAGATATGTATAATTATATATTGGATTTTCTATAGTTTTGAACAGTACCTTTATTATATTCTTATTACTATATCTATTTTTATCTGGCTTATTATTTTTTAAAAAGATTTGAGTTTTTTCCACTGAGAAATATCTAAGAATTCCAAGATGGATTCTATGAAACTACTTTTCTTCCATCCATCCATCTACCCACCCAGCTCTTGAACAACACTAATACCACTACTGAAATTAGGTGTTAATTACCATGCTTGCCACAGAAGTCAAACTGAAAAGAATTAAAGATTTCAAAAATCAAACTCACCAAGGTATATTCATAGACAAGACCTGCATGTCCCAGGCAGTCAACAGAAAGGTCATCTACAGAATTCATAGCAACACCTCCACAGGCAAGGGTTAACCTGAACATAAAGAATAAACATGTTCTTGGATATTTCTGTTATAGTCTGGGTTCACACACTGTAGTTTGCTTGATTTGGCTTGGCAAGTTGTGAGCCCAGTTGTGATTTATTCAATAAAGCATGGCTTAGGGTGATAGGAATACCTGCTCCTCTTTTTGAATGCAATCAAGAATGTTAAGCAGTCCCTTTGTTTTAAAAAAGGGATCAATATGTGCGTATCTTTTTATAATAATAATTCAAAGTCATTAAAGTGACTGATTTATACCAGCATTCTAAATGTACTTTGAAGAAATTCTAAAGAAGTCATTGTTTATCATTTTCCAAGTTTTCTAAACATCTAGGATTAGAATTACAATATAAGAGAAGATTACTCCTCTCCAAACTTTTGGGTGTCACTCTTTTTTTTATATTGGCTAAACATTTTCAAAGGAAACAAATAGCATTGTAAGCCCAAGGCAGTCCCCCAGGTTCTTCCAGAAACTGACCTCTCCATGTTTCTTCGTTTTGCTCTGCGCAAAGCTACTATTCCTTCTTTTGCAAGTGCATCCAGGGAAAAAGGGTCAATCCCCTGAAAATACAGAAGAGTACACAATAAACAGATCTGCTAAGGTTTAAATAAAACTAATATTGAAAAATTAAATAAGGATAACATGCAATAATACTGTGGTTTAATGGATCACTTGAGGTTATTATATCCAAAAGTCTGCAAATGGCGAATTTACATCAACTTATGTTATTTGCATAATAATGATTATGATTATTAAATTTATATGCTGCCCAATTCCCAGCGAATCTGGACGGTTTACAATAACACAAATAACATAAATTGTCACAAATGACCACTTACATGAATTGCCCTATTTCTGGGCTTTGTCCAACAAAAACTGGATGCAAATTTTGCCCACTGCACCTGAACTCTGCTAAATGGGAGACAATTAAACCAATGTTTCACTCTATTTAGCCCATTTTGCATTATAGGCCCATTTGTTAGGCAATCATCTCAATCAACACCAAGCCCTTCTCTTACCTTTTGGTTGATCACTATAAAACCTTTATTTGAATCTCCAACAACCGTTTTTTTCAAGTCTATGATTTTATTCACTCTTTCTTCAATGAACTTTCTTTCTGCTTTAACTAGCTTCTCTCTTTCTTCTGCACTCTTATAAAAGAATCCAGAATTCACCTCACTGGAAAAAAAAGCACATAATGTGGATGCTGTCAGAATTGAAATTATACAGAAAACATAAAAAGTAACCACGCCCTTGGGTCAAGCGTAACTCCTAATGACTACATGGACAAAAACCAGGCAGTTTTCTTGGCAACTACAGCTAGTCCTTGCTTAACAACTGTTCGTTTAACAACAGTTCAAAGTTACAACGGCCTTGGAAAGGGTGCCTTACGGTCCGTAAAGCACTTCCAGCTGTTATAAAATGTCGCACTGCCATCTCCTGCAGTCATATAGCTGCATTTCGGGCACTTGGCAACCGGCTTGCATTTACAACCGGTTAACAGGCGCCCTGTGATCACATGATCGCCATTTGCAATCTTCTCTGCTGGCTTCCCCAGAAAGTCAATGAGGAAGCTGGCAGGGAAGGTTGCAAGCGGAAGGGATGGAGGGGAGCTGAAATCCTTCTGCAGGCTTCAGGAAGAGAGCTCAAATCCTGAAGATTTGAGCTTCGTTCCTCCAGCTCCACAAAGGATTTCCCTTCCATGCACAAAGAGGAGCTGAAATCCTTTTGCAGTCTTCAGGAACAGAGGTCAAATCCTGAAGATTTGAGCTCCATTCCTCCAGCCCCTCAAAGAATTTCTCCTCCATGCACGGAGGGGAAGGGAAACCCTCCGGTGGGCTGCAAAAGGGAGGATTTAAGCACCACACAGAGCTGAAATCCTTCAGCAGGCAACTTTTTCACTCCGTCCGCTTAACGACCCAGGAGATTGCTTAATGACTGCAACTGGGAGTGCCTGGATTGCGGTCATTGAGCAAAGCAGTCGTGTAGGCATCTCACTTAATGACCGCTTAGCTCAATGGTCAAGATTCCAGTCCCAATTGTGGTTGTTAAGCAAGGATTACCTGTATACAGAAATAGTTTCCCATTGTCACCTTCCAGGATTTTTCCATCTCCAAGTCCAGTCGATCGCTCCCATTCTCTGGTGTCTCCCATTTAAGTACTAACCAGACCTGGCCTGATTTGCTTTCAACCCCAGTAAACATACATGTGAAGATAAGGGGAATCAGAAGCAATTTACATCAGAAATGGTCAGAGTGGCTTTCAGGTAGACCAAGAAAATCCCATGAACCAGCCTCTAAAACTGTAGGATTAAACCTCAGTTTGCAAGTCCCAACTAGGGCTGTAAGTCCTAATACATACATACGTTTTTTCATACTCTAATGACACATTGCAAGTAAGTATGTAAGCATCTTCAAGCCTCTTCTTCATGTCAGGATGACGAGCGCCATGATCCAGGACAAGTCCTCTTATCAGGCTATAAAAGATATTTAAAACAGCCTTTCAAGAACTCAGTTTCAGCTGTTTATCCTGTCTACAGTCTCATGCATTTCCTGCTAAAAATGGACTCCTAGGAACAACATTGCGGTGTATCCTTTTCAGACCCGTGCACACTGTTTTAGCACAGCATGTCATTAAACGAATCCGAGGCAAACTTTATTCTTGCATGGTGTCTGACTCCATTAGCTACTGTAAAAGCCAATGCAGAATTCACCCATGCCCCCAGCTATAACTACTGTACTTCAAACCTAGGAAACTTTGGCTTTCATTCCTTTAACAGTTCAGAATAAAATATAACTAAGTAACTTTCTTTATCAGATATAATAAAGCAGAGACAATGTTGCATATCTTCCACACCCTAAGGCCCAGATGCTGATGTCTGGGACAGCAACTCCCAAAATTCTCTGCCATGCCAGCAAAGAATTCCATAAAGTGCAATTCCAATATGTCTGGAAAATACCAAGTTGGGTTAGGCTAAGGGAGATGCAAGAATGATATATTTCAAGGCTTTGGGAACAGAATCCATTTATCTTATACTTACGTTGTATCTGTTTCAGATTTGTGCTTCATCTCCATTATTTCAACCATATAAAGATCTATTGGCTCGTTTGGTTTTCTGATTGCCAGAATTGAATCTACTACAGCCTTCGAAGAAAAGAGAACAAACCTCATCAAACAGGACTTCCAGGATTTAGAAACCCCCCACCCCCCTGGATCCACCTCACTTTAAATATGGGAGTTGTATATAATTTATTTTTGGAGAACACAAGAAATCAATGAAACTCACCTCAGTTAAGATATCAGCAAGCTCAGCATGGACCTTTGTGCGGAGGGAGGTTCTGGCAACATCTAGGAGTGTTTCCCTGTCCATTTCCTTTGCTACTTTGACCTGCTCCAGGACCTGAAGGGCTTTTTCTTTTGCAGCTTCAAACCCTTCTGTAACTATTCGAGGATGTAACCCCTAATGCCAAACAAATGATTAAAAAAAAACACACACACATATCCAATTCCACACTCCAGCTATAGGCAAAACTCAAGTGATCAGTTCCACAAGCAATTTCTTTTTACAACTGAAGGGCACAAAACTAAAAAAACACTCCAGAAGGTACCCTAAATCCCTGGAGCAGGTACTGAAAAGGCCCAGAGTCACTGGGAGTTGGGTGGCATATACATTTAATAAGTTATTATGAGATTATTATTTTTATTAATGGTGAAGGTTGAGGGGGAAGAAAACAAGGGAAAGTCTGCCTACACAACAATGGATTCAATCTAGTGATTTCAGTACTGTGGTATTTAAAAAAGGAAAACTATTTTACTTTTCTTTCTTTTCTTTTTTAAGCCTTTCTAGATGACCTGAGGCTATACATGACGACAATTTGTACTGTCCTTTTGAATACATATAAAAGGAGAAATAGTCCTTCCAATGCAGAGGGTAAAGTACAGTTTATTCTAGCACAGAATTATGCCAAAGGAACTATGGAGCTCATTTGGGTGTTCACTGTGCAACAAGTTCAGAAATTTCTCACACACTGTGGTCAGAAGTCAATTATACACCCCCCCACCCCCAGTCTGAATAAATAAAAGTTCAGTTCCATAGCAAAAATGCAGGAAGAATAATTTGTGTTAAATATGATTCAATGTCGGAGTTTGACATTTTAATCTAGTTTAGGTATAACATAGAATGGATGTTCACCTTGATCTAGCAAAATATGGACATGCAGCTAAGAATCTTGTTTTAATGGCAATACTAAGAATTTCTCACGGAACTTAGCTTGTTTTATTTAAATCTGAAAGCAAACTGAAGCTGTGCTCATAAAAATATATGCTTGCAGACTATAAGTACATAAACACTGTCACATACCTCTGAAATATAGAGATCTGCCTGCTTGAGCAGCTCACCAATTATGAGAACATTAGAAGTGGTCCCATCACCAGTGATGTCATCTTGTGCTGTTGCTACTTTGGCTATCAAGGAAGCTGTTGGGTGTTGAATTTGCTGATGGATGCAAAGAGGACAAAAAGAATATCATCAAAATGTCATTCCTCATCCATTTACTATTGTGCTCTGTTATCAATTTAATAATTTAAGGAAACAATCTATAGAAACACCAGCAGTGCATACATTTTAATTAATCTTAGACCCAAAAATAAGCAGAGAGGAGCTCATGTTTTGACCAACAGCACACTGTTGGTTACACAGTTTGGACATATGCCATTTTGTGCTGAAAAATAAAACATAAAATTATCATTAACTTTTGACATAACATTTTAAATATAATTTTTGGCCTACATCACCAATAGTGTTCACTATCTAAAGATCTACTAAGGTGCCTCTTTTCTGCATGTAGTCAGAGTTCTGGAAGATATTATTTGATCTGATATTTTAAAACTATATTCTTGGAAGGAACGGAAAGCTCACCATCTCATGAAGCAGGACATTGCCATCTTTGGTAAGCTTGATATCCCCAGCACCAGACACAAGCCTGTGGAAAACAGAAAGCAAAGCCATCACCCCTCAATACAACCTTCCTTTTCCAAGTATTTGGGCAAAAGGACCGGTAGAACATAATTTACTAACATCACTACCTCTCCTGTGTCAGAATACAAAGGATGATTCAATAGTTTGGAAAAAGAGATGACATTTTCAAAGCAAATTATGTTTCTTTGAGTTCATCATGAACTGTAATCAAGGAAAGACATATTAATAAAGTATACCTCTTAATCCTAACATAATAATTTGAAATGTGGGATATTATTATAAAGTACCCACACTGCCAACCCAATGTGGTGAATCCTCTGATTGTTTGGCAGGCATCCCATTCTCCCTTTCTCTTCAGAGAAGAAAGGAGGGGAACACTAGCAATAGCTTGGCCAGTAAGATAATAAACATCGTCAGTGTGAGACACTATGCAAAATAAGGTACAAAGAAAGAAGTATAAAACATTGAAACCTGGATAAACAAATAGAAACCCTCCAGAAACTGCAGTACACTGGTGGACACAAGCTCATGTAATAGAGAAATGTTAGGCAGGTGTTCTGCAGTATTGGGCAATGGCAAACCATCACATCCAAGGCTCTCTTTTCTACTTTCAATTCTGGGACTGACTATCCTATTAAATTAATCAAAGGAATAGGCTTCTAGTGTTATCTCCCTCCACCAGCCAGTTACAGCAACCAGATGCAGATGGCAGAACAACTTCACTATTTTAGGAGTTGTGTAAGGGGGCTAATTTTGGGAGAGGTACAATTATAAATTTATGACATTGCTTCATACTAAGATTTGGCCAATCAAACTCACCATGCTTTCATTCAGCTGACAGCAGCTCTCCAATGTCATGATTTATAACCATGCATTGATAGCTAAGCCAAGTACTTGATAACTAATAGCCACTAGTGTTCCACCTGTGATAGTTAACTGAGAACATAAGCTGTAATCCCTCTTCCCCCAAAACAAAAAGATAGCAGTGGTCAATCAGTATCTTTCAAATTCTGACTGGTACAAAACTAACTGGCTGGTGGGGCAATTCTATACTCAAAGCCTAATTTACTAATTTGAGAGCCAGTGGGGTTAAGGAGTTTGACTAGGAGTAGGAAGTTCTAGGTCCTAGTCCACCCTCTGCCACAGAAGCTCACTGGGTGACTTTGAGCCAGTTGTGTTCTCAGCCCAGCCTACCTCATGGGGTTGGCTACTGTGGGGACAAACAGAAGGAGGAGCATTAGGTATGGCACCTTGAGCTCCGGTACAAAAGGCAAGATATAAATTGAATAAAGATTTATAGCTAACTGCATAGATAAAATGAAGCAAGCCCTATTTATAATCACCCTAAATTTATTGAGGCAGAAAATATAAATATTTTATACATATCTGGAAGTTTATTGTATAGCCCAAAGCTTTATAACTGTAATTATATGCATTTTAAAGACATATTTGCTCTCTCTCTCTACATGTATCTATTTTTAAATAGATACCACTATTGGTACTGCCTGATCCCTACACTCTTTATAAAAGAAATTTTCACTGACAACGCTGTACAAACGAGCATATTGCGTTGTTAGCTGGGTTTGGGGCTCCTTCGACGCTATTTTGCGCATGGATTCACCTCGCCGCTTCCGCCGTCGAGCACCATGTGGATGGGTGGGGCTAGGCGTAGCCCCTCCTCTCCAACCCTGTGCTCCCCACAACGAGCCCTCCCCCCCCTTGCCTGCCTTACATCTTCATGGTTCCTTTGGGCCCGAGATTGGTCCTGAGCACATCCTGCAGGCCCCGCGCCGCGCTGATATTGACCGCCAGGGCTGCTTGAGCCCGCGCCACCTCAGCTTTGGGGTTGAGCGCCTTCACCGCCATCTCTCCCGGTTACCTCTGGAGGAGAAAAAGAAAAAGGCGACTGCGCGTACGCTCCCGCCTGACTCGACTGAGTCCTGACGAAACGAGGGGCGGGACTAGACGTCACAGCCTCCTTCATTCTAGAATAGTCCATATCAAGGCCTAGACACTGGCCTCCTATTGGTCCGCTGCAAGCCCGCCTTCCCTTCCCATTGGTTAAATATCTGCGTCGCTCATGAGTCCACCGGCTGCCTGATACAACGGCTAAGGTGGCGGTTGGAGACGGTTGCTATGCAAAATGGTGGTGGGCCTAGGCATGAGAAGTACGTCATGAATATTCATAGAATTTTAAAATATTGCTATATAATCTGATTAGATTAATTTTTTAAATACATATTGATATCTGAATTGCTTAAAAAGTTATTATGAATATGTAAGTGTGAGGAAGACAAAATGCATAAAGAATATTTAGGATATTGTTATAGTCCCTGTGTGTGTCTATATAAACATACTGTACACATGTATCTGAAAGCACTGTTAGATTACTCCCTTAATCTGGGAGTGCTCAACAAAATCAAAGGAATAAACATACATAGCACTGTCCTATACTTTGTGTAAAATAATTCTACTCTTCCTTTCATTTTGAAAACTACCCACTAAAAACAAACCATTTGCAATTTTTCCCTATAGTTTAATACACATACCTATGTTACATTAATTATGCCATATCCTTCGGAACAACTAGAGAAGTCAAAAGTCCTAACATTTGGTTTTTAAGTTTTAAAAATTCTGTTTTGTTAGCTCTTCTAATAAATATGTGCTGGTGACTTTGGGCCAAAGGGATAGGCTGGGGGTGCTGCAATTGCACCATCCTCCCAGCTGCATGGCAACATCCTTTCCCAAACTGCTTGATCTCATTACGGTGCTGTTGTGGTCCAGCCTGCTAGCACTAAGTGATTTCAATCTCCCCTCCCTGAAATCAGAGGCAGTTTAAGGGTTCATGGCTGCGATGACAACCATGGGATCCTCCCAAAACATCAGTGGCCTAATGTGACTGACTATATTCACCTTGGTGCAGATGTATTGTGATCTTGTTTTAGGTGCTTTTTCTTTTTTTATTTATATAATTTTTATTGAAAGTGTTAAGAGCAATAATAAGAACTAATACAAACTAAAATGGAAAAGGAAAGAAATACAGAAAAAGCTAAAAGTGCAATAAAAAAAAAAGTGGGGAAAAATGATATACAGACATATAATGGTATGAAGAAGTGGCTTCCGATATTCTTCACAGCAGTTATAAGTGCAATTATATTTTAACCTCTCTCTGTAAGGTTACATCATGACTCTCTTCTTTCTATAATTTATCCTGTCTAATCATCAAAACCATAAATCACAAGTCCATAAGGGGTTTCTAGTCACCAATAAATGTAGATATTGTCCTTTCTCTAATCAAAGAAGTCAGTCTGTCCATCTCAGCAATTTCTGTCAATTTCACCAACCATTCCTCCATAATGAGCAATGCCAAATCTTTCAATCTTTGTGCATGTAGTAATCTTGCTGCAGTATTCATATATTGAAATAATCTTCCATGGTTTTTTTCTAATGTTTATCCATCAATCCTAAAAAGAAAAATTCTGGTTTCAATTGAATATTAATCTTTAAAATCCTCTGTATCAATGTACCGTATTTTTCCGACTATAAGACGATACTTTTTTCTAAAATCCTTACCCTAAA